GCTCTTCCCTTTCCCCCAGTAATTGTACTCTGCATCCACTTACGGGAGGCTTTAATGTGCAAAATAATTTGCAGTCCATGTGCTGAAACATGGCGGCAGCGGCCTGGGCTGCACTGGGAGCTGCGGAGGCGCCTTGCGCCCCAGGCCCTCGGAGCAGGCAGAGGAGCTGCCAGCGACACTCGGGTTTTGCACCTTTGGTCACGTAAGGGCATAAAAACACATTTTAGCCGGGAGCCTCGTACATCAGGGGACCCCGGAGTGTCTGGCATTAAAATGGACATGATGGGAACCAGCAGTTAGCGTAATGGCTGTGTCGCTGGACTCCCACGTAGTCGACTGCGGTTCGCATCCCGGACCCGGTGGCTTAAAACTCACGCCGGGCACGTGTGCGTGTGTGCCCAAGATCCCGAGAGGAGAATGGAGGAGAAGGGACTGCGGCAATGTCCATCCCTCTGTCTGTCTGTCTGGCGAGCGCCCGTGCTCTATAGCGAAAATCTCTCAAAAAAAAAAAACAAAAAAAAAAAACACGGACATGACGAGGGCCTGGTCCTTCCCCGTGCACACTGCCTTCTGCACGCTTTCACTGTTGCCGACCTGTCTAGGTTAAGGGCAGGGGCAACCTGACTCTGAGCCCGCAGCTCCTGGCCGCCTTCGCCTTAACCTCTCTGGCGGCAGACCCGGAGGTACAGTGACGAATGGGTGTCAGTATTGAATGGGCTCCTTGCAAAATGGTTTGGGTTCTCTTTCAGGACGAGTGTCACAACTTTATTAAAGTTCTGCTGAAGAAAAACGAGGATACGCTGTTCGTCTGCGGAACTAACGCCTTCAACCCCTCCTGCAGAAACTATAAGGTAATGCCGCTGTCTGTCTGTCGGAGCCGGGAGGTACTTCCCAGCATGCTGTGACTGCACTGCAGCCCCCGAGGGCCAGCGCTGCAGCCCCGGCCCCTGCAGGAGCCGTCTTAGCAGGCTCCGAGCGCCCTGTGGGCTCAGGCTTGATTGACAGTCTGCAAAGCGCCTCCCCGGTGGCCCGGTTTCTGTGAGGCCCGGTTCTTCCTCGGGGAGGCCGACACACTGAGCACGTGCACCGTGTGTTTCCTCTCTCCCTGCCCCACCCCGCTGTCCCCTCCGAGCACAAAAGCGCGCTTCCATGGCGTGGGATTTCTGGTCTGAACAGTGCTCAGAAGCACACCCTTGGACTGCAGACCTTCCTCTAGGGAGCACCGGCGTTCGACCTCCTGTCGCACGCCAGCACGTGGCCTGGCTCGCTTCCCTCGGCCTACATGCAAGGCCCAAGGGGGACGCCCAGAGCGTCACAGTGCAGGCAGTTAGGGTGGGCTGTGCGAGGCCGCGGGGAGCAGCCCAGGTGTGGAGGAGACAGCGGGAGGCCTCTGTCCTGAGGGAAGCCAGACAAGGAGAAGGCAGCCCCAGTTCCATGGGCTTGCACCCTGGTGACACAGTGTTGGTGTGACAAGCACAGTGCGAGCTCCCGCCCCGGCCTGAGAAGGGGCAGAGGGTAGGCTTCGGGCAGGTGGTGGGTGACCCTCTTCTCCCAGTGCTCCCACCTGGGCGCAGCTCCCTGGGTCATGAGGCGCCTGGGCCCAAGGGCAGCGACCACCTCCCAAGGTGCCTCCCGAGCAGGGGCACGCACTCTCCGTGGAATAAATCACGGGTGAGGCAACACCCAGCCTCCGTCTCACAGGATGGGCAGAGACCAGCCAGGCGCAGAGTGGGCACCCCCAGGAGGGCTCCTGAGCAAAGGCACGGCGTAAGAGCTGGCCCGCCCCGCTCCGGAAACCGAGCTTGGTTCAGCATCGCTGGGCCGTGGAGTGATTAACACGACGGAAACACTTCCGTGACCAAACCGGGTGGGCTTTAATACCTGATGCGCACACAGGACGGGGGAGGGGCCAGGAGTGACACATTGTCCTGAGAGAGGACAGATGGGTGTCGCCACTTCGGCAGAGAATGAGCGAAGAGCAGCAAGGTCGGTGAGTGAGCGGGTGCCGGGGTAGGCGTCACCGTGCAGTCGCGAGGACACCCGGCCGCAGGCTGCACGGAGAACATATCCAGTGAGAAGGCGGATAGGTGCTCCCCTACGGAGGGAGAGGCGCACAGGGGACAGCGGGAGGGCCTGCTTTACCCTCCTCTTCATCTTCCATCTTCAGGGGACAGCGGGAGGGCCTGCTTTACCCTCTTCATCTTCCATCTCGCAGTGGCAAATGGGCCCCACGAGGGCCAAGGTTCGGGGGAGGCAAGTGAGGCGCTTAGCCCTGGCACCAAATCCGACAGGGGCCCAGAGGGCTCAGGAATAAGATGAGAGATGTTTTACGGCCCTATTTCTAAAAGTCAAAATTAGTACAAAAAATCTGTCATAAACGAAAGATCCTATCGAGACACAGACAGGACCGGCGCTCTGACAGGGACTGCCGGTCAGCCTCATGCTCGCGCGGTGGCCGCAGACACTTGGAGCTTCGACCTGAGTCCCACCAAACATCCCGTTTGCTCTGTTTAGGACTCACTAAGATGACCGCTGCCAGGACCAGCAGTTAGCGTAATGGCTATGCTGGACTCCTACGTAGTCAATCGCTGTTCGAGTCCCGGACCCGGTGGCTTAAACTGACACCGGGCGCGTGTGTATGTGTGCCCAAGGTCCCGAGAGGCAGATGGAGAAGAAGGGATTGTGGCGTGACCATCCCCCCCTGGGGGGTGATTTCTCGCTTTCCGTCTCTCTGTCTCTCTCTCTGTCTCTCTGGCAAGTGCATGTGCCCTATAGCAAAAACCTCTCCAAAAAAAAAGATGAATGCTGCCAACAAATCCCAAGGAGTGCCCTAGCTGGAGAGCTGTCTTCCATGACGAATGACAGGCTTCCTTGGCGCTCCAATACCCTGGCCAGGCCCGGCTCGGGACAGGAGGGGGGTCGGGAGAGGAGAGGGCTCGGGAGAGGAAGGGAGGTCAGGACAGGAGAGAGGTTGGGAGAGGAGAGGGGTCCGGACCGAGGCGAGCCCTGCTGTGGTGGACACTGCTCTGTCTCTGTGAGCACAGTGGTTTTACCTGATTCTCGGCTGCAGTTTAAAAACAGGACGGCTTCCACAGGGCCGTCTCAGAGCAGTGGCAGAGAGCAGAGAGCGAAGACCTGCCCCTTTCTGAAACGGAGTTTAGGCAAAAGAGGCCACAGCGTGTCCACTCAGGGCCAGTGAGGCCCGCCCTCTGCTCGGGCGGTGACCTCGAGCCCCCTTCCCATGTCCCTCTTGGCCCCAGTGCGTCCTCAGTTTATCTTCCCTCGGTCTTCGTGGCCGTGGCCGGTTCCCGCAGCCCCCAGAGGATGGAAGTGCCCCTCACACCGGGGCGTGTGGACACCAGCCACTGGAGCTCACTCCCCGGCCGGTTGTGAGCTCTGCCATGCTGGGACGATGCCTGCGGGGAGGGGCGTGGCGCGCAGCGGGATCGCGCTCCTGGTTGGCCCTCGGCCTCCCGCTAGTGACAGTGGCACTGCAGGCATGGTTTCCTGCTCACCACACAGCTGCGCAGGAGTGCGTGAAAGGGGCCTGGTCCACAGCGCCTCCCAAGGCCAGGCCCAGCCTGCCACCTGCACTGCCGTTCCCTGGGTGTTAGAGTCCCCCATCTGGAAGGAAAGGGTGGAGAGAAAGCAGGAGGGACCCTAGGAGGGTCTAGGCAGCAAGACGGGAGGCGACCGGCACACTGGCCTCAGATGCCGAGAGCTCAGCCCAGGCAGGGACCACGCCGGAGTAGTGGGAGGGCGGGAGCGTGGCCGCGTGGTCAGCAGCGGTAGAGCTCCGCTGTGCCCACAAACGCTCCTGGGACTGCGTGGTCACCGTAGGATGGAGCTCGCTGGGACTGGCTGCTCCCACTTAGGGCTGCTTGTTGCCGCGGGGTCAGGAGGGCCTGAAGAGTTCCTGCGTGTTCAAAAGAAGCAAAACATCCAGATTTGCGTGTGAATTCTCCCTGGTTTAAAGTTTGGGCTCAGTCCTTCCATGTCTCTTCTTCCCTCCCTCCTCCCCGTCCGTCCCCCGTAGGTAGTAAGGTGGCCACACAGGTCACCAGCAGGCAGGGGTCGTGCCTAGCCCAGAGGAACGAGGCCCGGGGAAGGGCGCTGGACACGGAGGCCGCGTGGCAGCTCCAGCTGTCGCCGCTGACGTGGGCTGAGCTGCTCGGGCTCCCCTTCCGTCTGACTCGGCTTCAGTCTGGGGCGCTGTAAAGTCACTTTCAGAGCCACCACTCCGTGGTGCTAAAGGAGGGGCACAAGGCCATCTGTGTCCTGCACTTCTGCTGAAGCCACAGCCTCCTACAGCTAAGCAGTGGAGATGCCAGTGCCTTCCGCCGGTTAACCCACAGAGGAGGGCTCGTCGTGCAAAGCCAACCCAGAAACACATCATTCTCTGCAGAGTTAACGACTCATGGGAGGAGGGGCTGGTTCCCACCGACGGCCTCAGAAGTTCCTTGGTCACAATGCTTCTTGCTAGACCCTTTCTAAGGATATGGGAGTCCGTGTATTGTAATGGCCGAGAGTCAAGCAGGCACCACTGAATCTTAGCCTCTCCCAGCTGGGGAACCTCGGCCCCGGGATTTAATCTCGCTAAGCCTCAGTTTCTTCATCCGACACCAATAGATTTATCCTGGGGGTGTTGATGAGGGTTATTTGCAAGCTCTGTACATAATTACTTGCTTCACAAGTATCAGTTGCTGTTACTGCTGTTGGCTGTGATTTGTAATTAAGTCCTATTATTTCGTTTAGATGGACACTTTGGAGCCTTTTGGAGATGAATTTAGTGGCATGGCCAGGTGCCCTTATGACGCCAAACACGCCAACGTCGCACTGTTTGCAGGTAAACATCCAGTTTCTTCTCGTTGCATTTGCTCTGACGTGTCTCAGCCTGTCGCTGCAAAGCCGCTCTGGGGGTTCGCGGTGGAATCACAGTTGTACTCTGATTCTCTGGTGAATACTGTAATTAAGAATGCCTTTTCCATTTGAAATTAGCATGGAAATTGCACTTTTGCTTCTCAAAAGAAGGCTTTGCACACTTACCAGGCTTCTGTGCCTTCAGAACAGGATAGGAGTGAAGCGCTGCACGCCTGCTGCATCGTTAGGGCACGTTTGGGCTCCAGGAATAGGAAGCCTGGCTCAGAACCCATGTGGTCTCCTTACGGTGGACTGGGCGTGTGGCCGGCAGCTCCCCGCGTCCAGGGCACAGCCCGGCATTGCCGCCCCGGCCAGCTTCATGCCGACCTCTGCTTTCTCAGGCAGAGGATGGTTCTGGGCTGAGAAGGCTGCCATCTTCTTGTCTGTGTATAGAATAGAAGGGAAAGAAGCAGAAGGAAGCGTCTGGAAGCTCCGTCAGGACTCCCTCTGACCGAGGATGGTGGCAGAAAGGGCGATGCTGTCCTTGGGGTGGCTCTTACTCCAGCCCTACCCTGCAGTCCTACCCTGACTTCACTCCGGGACACACAGGAGCAGCAAGTGGGCCGTCACTTCCCGACTCAGCGGGCCTCTGTGCCTGCGAGCCTGTTGTTTAATTAGGATTTTCCGGGAAGCCATGCCAGCCAAGTGTGGAGGCGGGGCATGGCTGTAGCTGCATTTCCATCAGGCTGCTGAGGCCTGGCACAGCCCCGCTGGCGGAGGGGCTGGAGGGCTTTGATTATGAAACGAGATTAGTTCCTGGCCCCGTGAGCCTCTTGCCTGTCAGGCATCTGTGGGCTGAGGAGCAGGGACAGCCTGGAGAAGCCATGTTCAGAGGGAAGGTCCGTGGGGCCCCGCAGGTGCCAGTCCAGCATCACCGGGAAGAGCCCTGCCCGGGCCAAGCCTGGCTGAAAGGCCGCGGCGTCCTGTGCACCACCTCCCACACGGAGCCTGTGCTCCTTAGTTGGGACTGCAGGGGACATTTAAGTGCCATTGCAACTAAAGAGAGGACTTGTAGCCTGACATGGAAGTGGGAGCCTGGCAGAGTATTTGCTAAGGCCACTGAGCTTCCGGGAGCCAGTGGAGGCGGGAGCCAGGGGAGGCGGCCAGGGGAGGTGGAGCACTACCCTGCCCAGGTGTGTATCTGAACATCTTTTTCTTGGGCTTTAAATCTCCACCTTTATTCATTGAAAAGGCCTCTTTGCAACTGAATGGTGTCGTTTTACAGAGTTGCAGCATAGTGGCTCCTACCAGTGAGGGTTTGGGGGAGATAAAGTCTGGAAGTGAGTGCAGGACAGGCCTGGAGAACAGCTGGGGAGTAACTGCCTGCCCCCTACCGCCCGCACTGCCCAGCTGTCAGTGTCTGGGGCTGAGCGAGGGTACCTCCAATCCACACGTAACTGGGCATACTTGAGTAGCTTCACGACCTAGGCTGTAGCGCGTCGGTCCTGGTGTGCAGGTATGTGCCGGTCACCGGGCAGGTCTGCTGTCTGCGGTTCGAGTCTTTCCGAGCAGTCGACATTTACTGACGTGGGGCTGCTAAGATTTACTGATGCACCAGGGAGACATCAGGACAGCTCTGACTTGAACCTGAGCAAATTTCAGTTAGTTTAAGATTGGAAAGTGCACATCAAGAGCTTCGCTTTGGTGTATTTGGGTACACTAAAAATGAATCAAATCATTTTAAAAATTTGGATGTAATTATTGTTTTCACCAATCTACACAGGATTTTCTTATTTTAGAGCATCCCATTTGATTATTCTCAGCTGTTTACTAATCCAGGGGGAAAAGTTTTAGTTTAATCTTCAGTCTTCGTTCTCTTTTGCCTTAGATGTATCCTCAAGCGTATCTTGCAGAAAGCATTCACTTTTGAAGCAAGGCCCATTTTACTCAGCACCCCCCCACACACACACGTTCTTCTTTGTTTTGACAGCTTATATTATAAGAATGCCCACAGTTTGTGGCTTTACCAATACTGAGGTGGCCAGCCTGTGGCATGGTGGTTAAAGCAGCTGAATCCCACACGGCCAATTCTGCGGTTCAAATCCCGAACCCAGAAGCTTGAGCAACATGCTGGGTACATGCACTTGTGTGACCGGAACCTGAAAGGAGGGAGGAATGGAGGAGAGGGGATTGAGCAATGACTCTTCCCCATGGGGGATGCTTCTCACCCACCCCATCCGTGAGCGCATGTGCTCTGGCATAAACAAAAAAGAAAAAAAAAAAAAAAACAGACACTGAAGCGCGCGTCCTTCGGTTGTGGTTCAGATGGTCGAGTTCAGTGAACTCTTGTGACTGAAGCCAAGAGGAACGGTGATTTCAGGATGTGAGCAGTAGCTTAGTCAGCCTTTTTATTTTTTGCTGACGAACTTTCTCTCTCCTGCTCCCCTCCGCCTCAGACGGAGGACCCCATTCCTCCTACTCACGCCATGCAGTCAGCGCCTGTCTCCCCGGGCCCCACCTAATCCGGTTTACCATGGTGCGGAGGCGGGCCAGTGTCCATGGGTCCTTGGCCTCGAGATTGCAGTCAGGGCCAGTCTAATCAAGGGGAGCCAACGACAGTTCTCATTTATCCTGCTCCCCGAGCTGCAGCTGCTTAGAAAAATTGCCATGCAATTTAAAAATGAAAAATGTCTCGTCTCTTGTGATCCCAATTTGAAACGGCTCGGAATGTGGGCTGAGCATTTTCCCAGAGACTCGGGTTCCTCCCAGCCGTCCTATCTCGTCGGCCTGCTGTGGAGAGACAGGCTGGGAGGTCTCCATTACCCTGCTCCCACTGGCCGCTGCACCTGACCACCTCTCCCCTTTCCCCCTAAGATGGGAAGCTGTACTCGGCCACGGTGACGGACTTTCTGGCCATCGACGCGGTCATTTACCGGAGCCTGGGAGACAGCCCCACCCTGCGGACTGTCAAGCACGACTCGAAATGGCTGAAAGGTGAACAGACAGAAGGAGACAGGACTGGGCGGAGTAGGTTCGGGTGGGAGATGGAGGGTCTGGGTGGACCAGACCGTCACTTCAGTTAGCAGAGGTTCCTGACAGAAAGGGACACATGCTTCGTATCGTTTGCCTCGCGGGATTTATTTGCCTTGCTTTTTCTCCTCCCGTGAGTCTGCGGAGTTTTCAAACGCCCACTGCCACGACAGTAGGGCATTCTGCACTCGGCCTTCCTGTCCCAGACTCCATTTCAGAGCCCCGCAGGGAAGAACTGAACAGCTCGGTCGTGGGAGGCACCTGTGGACAGAGTGGTAGTGGGGTCGGGGAAAATCTGTTCCACGCCTGGGTGAGTCAGGGTGACAGGTGCCGGGGACTAAACCTTCTCTGAAATAGGAGCATTCCATGGTGAGAACTAAAACCACAGAGACATGCAGAGCTCATTATTCCTCGGGACCAGCAGTTAGAGTAATGGCTATGTCGCTGGACTCCCATGTAGTTGACCGCGGTTCGAGTCCCGGACCCGGTAAAAAAAAAAAAAAAATAGAACTCCTCTTGTCGATTCCAAAGCTTCTGAAAGGTAGACTGTAGGCACACGTGCTCTCGGAAGTCACAGCACTCGCATGTAACAGTCACTGGAAATGGTTAGTGTTGACCCGGTGTCTAACGGCCCTACCCTTTAATGAACAGCCTGGCTCCGGTTACACTCGACTGAGATTCTTTCAGCACTGTGTGGCGTGTCCCCACTTTAATAGTGCCCGTTCGTTTACAGAACCGTACTTTGTCCAAGCGGTGGACTATGGTAGCTACATCTACTTCTTCTTCAGGGAGATAGCGGTGGAGTACAACACCATGGGGAAGGTAAGAGCCCCCTCGCTCCCGTGGGCCGTTCTTCTTGTGAATGACCTTGAAATGAGAAGCATAGAGGGCTTCTTTAGAAGTTCATAAGATGCATATTAGGAAAACTATGCATGGATTTCAAAAAATCTTTTGCACTGCAATCTACCAGTACTTCGATCCTATTTTTCCATGAACTTTCAAAGTCCCGTCTTTAATAACGAGGTCATCATTCTGAGAAGATCCAGCCCAGAACTGGCTGACATGAAACAGTACGCCATCTGGAAGCCCCAGGTGCTTTTTCAGAGCGGTGAGGGATCGCAGGGAAAATCTTAAATATTTCTATCAAAAATATAGCTGATAGCCGATTAGCTGATTGCTTACCAAGGGCCGTGTATCCTGAGATGTGGTTTGCAGGTAATAGCAGTTTTTGGGCTTTTTGTTTGTTCGTTTGTTTTGTTTTAAATTGAGTTGCTCTAAAGAAAGAGGAAATATTCTGTCTACACAGACCGAGTTTTTATTTTTGTCTTTATTGCAAAAGGCAAGAGGACCGTTAAAGGAGGTCTGTGCAGTTGCTGTCACCAGAGAATAGGTGGTTGCTGCGTTGAGAGCACGGGTGCATGCCGGGGGGGCTCGCAGTTAGAGGGCCCGAGCTCCAGCGGCAGGGCCGGGCGGGCCGGGCGGGCAGCCCAGCAGAGATGAGAGACGGTGCACACGGAGCGTGCTTCTGTCGGAGGAGGTGGAAGGCCAGCAGTCCGTATGGAAATGAGCCTGTGTGGCTGGGGGCCCTCTGCGGATTTGCGGCTCCGCCTTAAACGCGGCTCCGCCTTAAACGCGCCGCCTTATCTTTTCGAGCTTGCTGCCCGGTGCTGCCCTCCTCCTCCTTTCTCTGCTGATTTTAGAAACTCGGCCTTAAATGAAGCACCATGCTGTTCTGTTCTGGTGTTTCAGGAACAAATTCCTCACAGAGTGGCTGTTTTCCTCTGCAGGTGGTTTTCCCCAGAGTGGCTCAGGTCTGCAAGAACGACATGGGCGGGTCTCAGCGCGTGCTGGAGAAGCAGTGGACCTCCTTCCTGAAGGCGCGCCTCAACTGCTCTGTTCCCGGAGACTCCCATTTCTACTTCAACATCCTCCAGGCCGTCACGGAGGTGATTCGGATCAATGGCCGCGACGTCGTCCTGGCGACCTTCTCCACACCTTTTAACAGGTAAGCACGACTCCGTGCTCCATGGGCTCCTTGACCCGGCCACACTGACTCCGTGCTCCATGGGCTCCTCCCAGCCACATGACTCCGTGCTCCATGGGCTCCTTGACCCGGTCACATGACTCTATGCTCCATGGACTCCTTGACCCGGCGGCGTGACTCCGTGTTCCATGGGCTCCTCCCGGCCACACTGACTCCGTGCTCCATGGGCTCCTCCTGGCCACATGATTCCACACTGACTCCATGCTCCATGGGTTCCTTGACCTGGTCACATGACTCCATGCTCCATGGGCTCCTTGACCCGGCCACACTGACTCTGTGCTCCATGGGCTCCTTGACCCAGCCGCGCAACTCCGTGTTCCATGGGTTCCTCCCGGCCATACCAACTCCATGTTCTATGGGCTCCTCCCGGCCACATGGACTCCGTGCTCCGTAGGCTCCTCCCAGCCACACTGACTCCGTGCTCCATGGGCTCCTCCCGGCCTCCTTTCCCAGGGCCTCTCCTCTCCTGCACACATTCCCAGGGGACGAACGTGTGCTGCTCTCTCTTTGTAACTAAGAAGCCCTTAACACTCGGCTTTCATCAACACATGGACAGTAATTTGCAGCATATTCAGTTAGGATTTTCGAGGAATTAGATGAATTATAACAATACATTCTATTTATATGTCTGGCATATAAAATACTCCAGCGATCTTAAGAGCTAGTGGTAGGTTATTCTTTATAGATATTATAATATTATAGATACAGCATTTAAACGGCCCTTAGGAAAGAGCCTTTTAGTGCCCTGAGATACTTACGCAGTCACAGAAAGCATGTCTGGTAAGATCTGAAAATGCTAAACTAATTTGCCAGTTTAAAAATATGCATGTTGACTTTCATCTATAAATTGTAGTCCACTCCCTCCTAAAACACACGAACTTGCTCACATTAGTGTTTCAAATCCTACATGAGGAGCCAGCAGGTGGCACGGTGGTTAAGGTGCTGGATCCCATGTGGCCAACTGTGGTTCGCGTCAAAGACCCAGTGTCTTGAAAATCATGCTAGGCACATGTGTGTGAGTGCCCCAAATCCCAAGTGGAAAATGAAGGAGAAGGGATTGTGGCGTGGCCATTCCCCCTGTGGGGTGATTTCCCACTTTCTTTCTCTCTATCTCCCTTGTAAGCACATGTACCCTATGGCAAAAAAAAAAAAAGAATAAAAAAGGCAAATCTTTCCTGGACCTCTCTGCCTTGAAGAACAACCCAAGCTCCTCAGCATGGCCTGCACACTCCCTAGGGCCAAGCCCCCTTCCTGCTCATCTCCCCCTCGCTCCGACACGGCGTGTGCCACTGAGCAGCGGGCGAGCTGTGTATCTGGAAGGTGCCGTGCTTTGCGGGCACGCTGCTCCCTGCTGGCCTGCCCGCCTGACCAGCACCTCGCCGAGGGAACCCGGCTCCGGCCCTCCCACGAGGCCTCGCCCCTGCCCCTCTGTGGACCGCCCTCCCCAGATTGCCGCCGGTTGTCCTTGTCACTGTTCTGCTTGCCTCCACGCTGCACTGACCCCCGCGGACAGGACCCTTGTTTATGGAGCACTGCTGCATTAGATCAGGAGTTCCAGAATGTGCATTGACAGAGCAGAGCGGGGAAGGAAGGAAGGAAGGAGAGAGGAGAGGAAAGGAGGGAAGGGAAGGAGGGAGTGAAGTAGGAGAGGAAGAGAAAGGGTCCCACAGGCGAGCCTAACTTTGAGGAAGGTGTAAAACCCTAGGATGGCTTTTACAAGTTGCTTCAAAATATAGTTTAAGCCATAGGTATCCGGTTTGGGGTTTGGTTTTGTTTTTTAAGGTTTTTCCATATGGCACATGCACTCACCAGAGAGAGGGAAAGTGAGAACTCACACCCCAGGAGGAATGGCTTGCCACAGTCTCTTCTCCATTCTTCTCTCAGGGTTCCGGGCACACACGCACATGCGCCTAGCATGATTTTTAAGCCACCATGTCTAGGACTCGAACCGTGGTCAGCCATGTGAGAATACAGGCGCCCTAACCACCATGTCTCCTGTTGCCATGTAATTGTGCTTTTTAAGGTTTTTGTCACGAGGTGCGTGCACTGGCCGGATAGAGACAGTGGTAGGGAGAGTGAGAAGTCACCTCCCAGGAAGGACGGCCGTGCCAAAGTCCCTTCTCCTCCATCCTCCTGCCAGGATTTCAGGCTTGCACGCACATGCGCCCGGCACGATTTTCAGGCCGCCAGGACCGAATCATGGTCGACCATGTGGGAGTCTTAATACCTTAACCACAACGCCTTGTGCTGGTCTCTGTATTCTAGTTCCAGTATTTAAGGTAAATATGTAAACCCATTAACTTTAGGAAGGGAAGATGCTAAAAATGTCTACAAAATTAATTAATGCTAACTTTCTAGAGCAGAGACTTTGTTTCTTTCTTTCTTTCCTTCCTTCATCCTTCTTTCTTTCCTTCCTTCATCCTTTCTTTCTTTCTTTCATATTTTAATAGGTTTTTGGCCATAGGGCTCATGTGCTTGCTGGTGAGGGAGAAAGACAGACAGTGAGGCGGCCAGGGCGAGGCATCATCCCCAGGGGAGACGGCCCTGCATGCACACACACCTGGAGTGATTTTCAAGCCACCACGTCCAGGATTCGAACAACAGTCACCATGAGGGAGTCTAGTGACATAACCACCACACCATCTGTTGGCCCCAGAGATTCACTGGAGTGATTTTCAAGCCACCACGTCCAGGATTCGAACAACAGTCACCATGAGGGAGTCTAGTGACATAACCACCACACCATCTGCTGGCCCCAGAGATTCCTTTCTTACACATGCAGTTCTGTGAACAAAATCTATATCCATGTACGTAGAAATCAAATAAGCTTTCTAATCCCCCCCTATTTCTTGGTTTATTAGTAATACTCCAGTAATTGCGTTATGTGATTAAGGCACAAAACTCTCCCAGTCGTTTCTGAAATGATTTCCCATAGTCTTTTGATATGTGCAAAACCAGGCCCACAGCACTGTCTCTGCCCTGCCTGATGTTCCCACCCCATCCCAGGCCCGGGTGCCCCACCGCCGGGCCTGATGGCGCCCCTTGGCCAGCTGGTGCCTGCTGTTTGATCGAAACCAAGGAGCCACCATAGTCGGAAGCAAACACGGGCAGACGTAGCCGGTGTATCAGATGAATGAATAATTCGTGCCTTCCCCGCCAATGAAAAGCAGGACAGCGTCCCCCCACGAGCACCAGGCAAGGGTGTAATTATGGGTGGCGATGACTGTCATTATGAGTCCTTAGCACTTTATAGCGCACTTTATTTGCACAGCGTTGGTGTTTTAGAGACAGAGATCGTTTCATCTTATGCAAACAAACAAGTAAACAGTTGAGTGTAAGCGACTGACGCGAGGTGAGTGTAGCTTCACTCCCATCCCCCCAGTCTCACATCCAAGGCCCAGCTTGAAGGAGCAATCCGTGGACAGCAGACATGTGTGTTCGGACGTTCATCGGGTTTGGAGTTTGAGAATGTTCTCCGGAGGGTTTTGTCTGGGTTACTGACTGAGATTTAACGTCAGCGGACTCCTGAAACCCCGTCTCCAGCTCAATAGTTCTTCCTTTATAAACGAAAGCAGCACAAGAGGCGGCGGTGACATGCAGGGACTTCCTGCTCTGTGACTTCGAGGGGACCAGCATGTCCTTTAAGCGTGCTGACAGACACATTCTCTACGCGCTGGGCCCCCTTACGTTCAGGGTTCGAGTCCGAGCTTTAGATTTCAGTGCTGTTACAGGCGAGTCCCGTACTCGGGCTGGCGTGTCCCCAGCTGTGCGTGGGAGCTGGCATGTGTGACGGCGGTGTGCAATGTCCCGTTGCAGCATCCCTGGGTCTGCAGTCTGTGCCTATGACATGCTGGACATTGCCAGTGTTTTCACCGGGCGCTTCAAGGAGCAGAAGTCTCCCGATTCCACCTGGACGCCCGTTCCTGATGAGCGCGTCCCTAAGCCCAGGTACGTGCAGGTCCCTTCGTGGTATCTTAAACTTGCAGGGATCCCAGGCGAAGGCAGCTCCTCCAGCGGCGAACCTCCTGCGACCTGCATTCCAGCCCTGCACGCACACCACCACCCGACAGCACTGGGCGGGCAGGCACCAGCACCATAGGAGGGCCTGTGAGGTCATCCGCCTTCATCCGTTAACCAAAACCTTTCTCGTAAGGTTATTTGTGCTGGGCGGGCAGGCACCAGCACCATAGGAGGGCCTATGAGGTCATCCGCCTTCATCCGTTAACCAAAACCCAGAATTACCTTTCTCGTAAGATTATTTGTGTACTTCTTCCCTGAGAGATACAGAGAGAGAGAGAGAACTCAAACCAGGCCTTCCCACTGTGACCCACTCCTGACCTCAGCCAGCCTCGATCAGACAAGTGCGTGTGCCCCACGTGTGCCCCGCGTGTACCAGGAGACCTCAGGACCCTGCCGTGGGCCTCAGCGTCACAGAGTTTGCGTCACCGCTGTGCCTTTACTACATTAGAAAGGGTGACTGTCGGGCGCTGTGTTTAGCACCCGTGTGGGTGGCGCACCGTGGAGCACTCGCTCACAGGGGTGCTCTGACACGCTGGCCCCTTTGGTCCGTAGTTGGGAAACTGAGGGGTCATGTGTGTCATCAGATCCGCATCATCAGGGGCCATTTCCTCTGTCCCTCGCTGCTTCCCATTGGATTGAGAGACCTGTAGCTTTGAGTCGTAATAAAATGTGAACTAGAAGTGGTCCCTGGAGTCTGTGGCCAGGAGAGAGCTGAGCCCAGGACCCCAAGCCTTGGGCAGGGAGAGTCTGGGGAGGGTCCAGCAGATCATCCGGAGAGCACCGGTCGGCCACGTTCAGGCCTGTTAGGGCCGAGTCCAGTTAGCGCCCCGTCCCCAGACTGTCCCTGAATTGCCCCTCAGCCAGCCCAGGGACCCCTTGTCCCTATGTGACCTCCTGCAGATCCCTGTGCTGGAACAGCTCCTTCCAGCTGGGACAGAATGGCGTTCTCCCCCAGCCCCTGTCCCCCCCCTGCCCCTCCCTTACAGCGTTGACCATCCACGTTTCATGGAAGCATCCCTGGACCTGTGTGCCTCTGGAGGGAAACCCAATGTCTTAATTTTTTCATATCCCAACTGCCCTCCAGGGGCCAGTCTCCCAGCCCAGACACCGAGCCGAGTACATCTACTTGAACTAACTTGGGTAATAAGCAGCAGTGTACTCGAGAGAAATCCCCGTGGCTCCCCCATCTTCACCCACATTAAGTGGCGTGCTCCTCCTCTGCTGTTTGTGGGGTGCAGAAGCTCACCCCAGCAACCTCAGATTCTCTGAGTCATTGTCCACCTTTTAGATGAGTCAGAAGAGGAGTTCACCAGAGGGGCCGGGTTTCAGGGAGTCCTTCTGCAATGCTCTGTCCTTGCCGGGTAAAGCTGGTGGCAACCCAGCCGTTGCCAAGTCCCCAACCTGTTTTCCTGGGGCACAAGTTTGTGGAAGACAGTTTTCCCACGTGCGAGGTGGAGGGGCGGTTTCAGGATAGTTCGAGTGAGCTCCGTTTACCGTGCACTTTATCTCTGCTGTTTTTACGTGGTAATGTATAATGAAATAACTACAGCGCGCCCTTCTGCAGAATCAGCAGGAGCCCTGAGCTCTTCTTCCTGTAACTAGAATGCAAGCGCATTCAAAGCCGGCTGGGATTCAGGGGGCAGCAAGCGGACACTGGGACTTCTGGCACGTTTCAGCGTGAGAATCTAACGCCGCCCATCTTGGCGTGATGCGAGGTCGGGAGCAGCTGTAAACAGGAAGCCTCACTGTTAGTGACTCCAGGGACCACTTCTAGTTCACATTTTATTACGACTCAAAGCTACAGGTCTCTCAATCCAAGGGGAAGCAGCGAGAGGTAGAGGAAATGGCCCCTGGTGATGCGGACCTGACCACACACGTGACCCCTCAGTTTCCCAGCTACAGACCAAAGGGGCTGGCGTCAGGGCACTCCTGCGAGCGAGTGCTCCATGGTATGCCACACACGGGTGCCAACTATAGACCCACCTCCTAACCACAGCCTGGGACCCCTGCTCTAGGTGATTTTCTACCCCCGAAAGGGTTTTGCCTGCGTCCTTCCACACGTTCACCGGTGTCTCCTGCAGACGTCAGGATAGTTCATGAGGCTCAGGTCTGGGTTAGTGCCAGGTCAGGTGCGAGCAGGTCACGCAGGGCTGTGTGGGTGTCATGCCCCTCACCCCCGCAGGAGACTCGGGTGTCTGGCTGGGCTCTGTCCTGGGTTGGCTTCCCTGGAATGACTCTTGACTCCTGGAATAGAATTCTGCTGTCACCCAACCTGTTTTCCTGGGGCACAAGTTTGTGGAAGACAGTTTTCCCACGTGCGAGGCGGAGGGGCGGTTTCAGGATAGTTCGAGTGAGCTCCGTTTACCGTGCACTTTATCTCTGCTGTTTTTACGTGGTAATGTATAATGAAATAACTACAGCGCGCCCTTCTGCAGAATCAGCAGGAGCCCTGAGCTCTTCTTCCTGTAACTAGAATGCAAGCGCATTCAAAGCCGGCTGGGATTCAGGGGGCAGCAAGCGGACACTGGGACTTCTGGCACGTTTCAGCGTGAGAACCTAACGCCGCCCATCTTGGCGCGATGCGAGGTCGGGAGCAGCTGTAAACAGGAAGCCTCACTGTTAGTGACTCCAGGGACCACTTCTAGTTCACATTTTATTACGACTCAAAGCTACAGGTCTCTCAATCCAAGGGGAAGCAGCGAGAGGTAGAGGAAATGGCCCCTGGTGATGCGGACCTGACCACACACGTGACCCCTCAGTTTCCCAGCTACAGACCAAAGGGGCTGGCGTCAGGGCACTCCTGCGAGCGAGTGCTCCATGGTATGCCACACACGGGTGCCAACTATAGACCCACCTCCTAACCACAGCCTGGGACCCCTGCTCTAGGTGATTTTCTACCCCCGAAAGGGTTTTGCCTGCGTCCTTCCACACGTTCACCGGTGTCTCCTGCAGACGTCAGGATAGTTCATGAGGCTCAGGTCTGGGTTAGTGCCAGGTCAGGTGCGAGCAGGTCACGCAGGGCTGTGTGGGTGTCATGCCCCTCACCCCCGCAGGAGACTCGGGTGTCTGGGCTGGTCTGTGTCCTGGGCTGGCTTCCCTGGAATGACTCTTGACTCCTGGAATAGAATTCTGCTGTCATTGTTCAGTTACAAAGAAATGACCTTTCAGGAAAGAATCTTCAGTGAAACTGGCTTTTCATCCCTGCCCAAATTTAACAGAAATGAAAACAATAACAAAAACAAAGCCCCAGTGTCCTCTGAGATAATGATGGCTAAGGTGAGGCCGGCTGATGTGTGCCCCTGCAGCTTTCTGAAAGTCCTTGTCTCCCGCACTTGCGAGGAAGTCACCACAATTCTCTCCCCTCGTAGAGCCGGTGCCTCCGCAGCGTCCAGCAGGCTCTCTGGATAAGTGGCCCACCCCTGAGTCACGTGCGGACTGCGCACTCGCTCCTTTTAAGCCCCATCCCTGTTCACGGAGGCTTGCTGGAGCTTCTGGGAGGGCGCCAGGCTGCCTCCGGCAAAGCCGAGCTACGCGGGCACAGGCTCCAGTGGGGAGTGCGGAGGCGGCCAGCGAGAACCGCAGCGTGTTGTCTTTGGTGGCGTTCTGCATTGCTGCGCTTCCGCCTCAGCCCGGAGCCCTTTCCCTTCATCAGGATGCTTAAAGCAGCAGCTTATCCAAAGAATTTGCCAGAAGACATGAAATACGCTCCCTCTCCCCCCGCCTTTGCTTCACTTTAGGCCGGGGTGCTGTGCTGGCTCACCCTCCTTAGAGAAGTACGCCTCCTCCAACGAGTTTCCTGACGACACGCTGAACTTCATCAAGACACACCCACTCATGGACGAGGCGGTGCCCTCCATCATCAACAGGCCGTGGTTCCTGCGGACGATGGTCAGGTGGGTGTCGAGCAAGCCAGGCCCACGAAGGTTTTCTGGCCTTCGTCTCGTGCTTGCAGGACCTAGCAATGGGTCGTGTTTGCAATGCCACAGACGTCCTCTGCCTGCCTGGGCGTCGGCTCAGCTACTAAATGCCGCTGGGACGGTGGAGGCTGCCCAGCCCGCAGAGCTGCATCCCCACGAGAAGAGTCCCAGGCTGGTTGGACACAGAGGAAGAGTGAGGCCGTGAACAGACGTGGACATTGCGTGGTTGGTGTCCTCACGGCACCTGCTGCGGGTACCCGGGCCTAGGCCAACCTTGTTAGCTGTCACGGGCACAGACACCGTATTCATGAGCGTGCCGGCGGGCAGATCCGTGCTCCGTGTCATCGTCCTAGCAGTGGCCAACCGAGAAGGGCCAGCTCGGTAGGGCTCTGTGCTGGCACTAAATACTGCTCTGTGTACGTAGAGCTTATTTTCAAGGGATGCAGCAGGTACTCCCGAGTACTGTCCAGCTGTGACAGTTGGCGAACAAAATGTTCATTAACGTTGCCACCACTTTTTTTTTTTTTTCCTGTAGGGTGTGTGTGCTCACCAGAGAGAGAGGGAGATATAGAGGGAAAGTGAGAAATCACCCCTCAGGGTGGTGGCCATGCTCAACCAATCCCTTTTCCTCCATTCTCTTGGGATTTGGGGCTCACACGCACATGTGCCTGGTGTGCAGCTCAAGCTGCCGGGTCCGGGCCTCAAATCACAGAGCTGACCCTGTGGGATCCGGCATCTTAACCACCATGTCGCCACTTTTATCCCATGACTTTGTTGAAAGGTGCTAGCGTACTGCTGATACTCCTAACTGTGGTCGGAAACCGTAGCCTGTAGCTCCGGAAGGCCGTGCTCGGTGGTTCCCGCCATGGTGCTGAGGACAGAGAAGGTCCATGGGATGTAGAGTGACAGGTCCGCGGGAAAGGGCACGCCCGTAGGACAGCCCTGCATGCCCTTCAGCGTGGCTGTGCGTGGGCCTGCTTTGCCTGTGCAGGCCTGTGTGTTAGCAGAGCCCCTGGCACCTTACCCCACACACCATCCTGCCGCTGTCCTTCAGAGCTCCCTCGGCCCCTCTGGGTGCGTCTGGAAAGCTCTCAGTCTGATACTGTGTCGACGAAGGCTTTGCCCCTGAGGGGACAGTGTGGAGAGGTGGGAGCCTTCGTTTCCCTCCTCCGTGTTAAAGGAGCTCACTTAGCAGTCCTCGTGCCTTCGCGGGAGACATCGGTCTCGCCCTGCCGCTCCTGGGGTCTCGGGCGGCTAGGGCGGTCCCTTCACTACCGAGCTTGGCCTCACACACGTACCTCCACCCCCTTCGGAGCCCGCCGATGCTTGGCAGGTGGGAGGACAGGGCAGGACGGCTTGAGAGCGTGACCCATGTGCCTGTGTTTTCTCGAGGTTGCTGCGAGAAAGCCGTGTCACAGCGGTTTGAAGTGGAAGGGGACACTTCAACGGTAGGCCAGCAAAGGCATGAACGATGCGGCCGTGTCATTTCAGATACCGCCTGACCAAGATCGCCGTGGACACGGCGGCCGGGCCGTACCAGAACCACACCGTGGTTTTCCTGGGATCCGAGAAAGGCATCGTCTTGAAGTTCTTGGCCAGGCTAGGAAGCGGCGGCGTCCTCAATGACAGCGTTTTCCTGGAGGAGATGAGCGTGTACAACCCTGAGAAGTGAGTGGGGTGTCCATGCCCTCCGGGGCCGTGTGCTAGTGCAGCCCTTCCCTTCGGAGGTCACGGCAGACCAGGCGTGCTTTTGTTTGCTTTGTTTTGGTTTTGCATTGATGGATTATTTTTCTGTTTGTGGAATCTTTTAACACATACAAAGCATCATTTTCTCCTTGCCAATAGTGTGTGTGTGCATATGTGTACACGTGATTATGTGTATGTGTGCTTCTGTGTACATGCGCACTAACGTGTATGTGTGATTATGTGCGTGTGTGCATGCTCGTGTGTACATGTGCATGCTCGTGTGTATGCGAATGTACATGTGTGTTTATGTGTACCCGTGTGTGCATGTGTGTGAGGATCTGTTCACCGTCGGTCTGACAGGATTACGAGATCGCCTGGGGCTGGGAGGTGGGGGAGCCGGGGCAGGCAGAGCACTGACCCCGCTGGCCGGTGGTGCCCGGCCGCCCCTCCAGGTGCAGCTACGATGGGGGGGAGGGCAAGAGGG